TAAAAAGACTTTTATCAGGAGAGCTGGCTTTTCCATTTGATTACATTTTGTATGATGGATTATGCAGAAAAAGTAGAATTGGGCTGAAAGATCTATCGCTTTATTACCTATTCAGGTTGTAAATCATGTTTTTAAAAAGTAACTAAGTAATTAATTACTTTCAAAAATAAGTAATCAGTAAAGTAACAGTATTACGTTTTTGGGGAATTTTTTCAAGTAACTTGACCAACACTGCTTGTGGGGCCGGCTGGGTAGACACGGGGACCATGACAACCTCAAGGTCCTTTATATTGGAAGATAGACCTTAAAATAATACAACAGAGAACCACAACAATCATATGACCTAGGGCTGTTTGATATAACAATATATATCAGATGACGATATGAAAACATCTATCCTTTCATATCATACACTATTGTATAATGTTTTTTCGTGTTGCAAAATAAACTGTGTATGCAATATTTTTTCATCGTTTTTGTGAAGATTCGGCTTTGTGCAGGCAGGAGTTGGACCCAAAATGCAGACTCTCGGACATGAGGGGTGAACTCAAAAACTACAGCTTTATTGCAGGCAAATGAAAAGGAATACAACACAAAATTAAACTAAACTAAACTAAACAAAACTAGGAAAGAATAAATTTAACTCACAGGGAAACAGAGAGAAACACAGCCGGGTCCCTCGCTATAACGCGGTTCACTTTTCGCAGCTTTGCTGTTTCACTGCTTTTTTTGGAGCAATTTTGCGTGCTGTTTTTTTTTTTTTAACATTAACATTTTTAACACTGTTTTCTGCGTACAATCTCATGCCGTATCTCCAGTACACTACAGAATGTGTTCAGCTTGTCAAATTCACATAAATCTTCGATCTCTAGCAGTGTGACTCTGAAGTGCTGCACTGTATATTTGTGAGTTTTCTCCCCAACAAAAACAACAATGTCGATGAAATGTTTTGCACCGTCAAAGGCACCGGCGGTAGCACCGAGAAGGCAGAGGAAGATGCTAATCATTGCACAAAAAGTTGGACTTCTGGACATGCTAAAGGAAAGTAGAAGTTACCGTATTTTACAGCTTATAAGGCGCATTAAGCGAAACAAAACAGTCAGATAAGTCAAACTTTACTCAACTCATTCTTCTTGCTTCCTCCACTTCAGTACCATTGATT